TTTCGAACTTTCATTCAAAATGATATAACTAATAATTAAGAATATTATTTACGAGAGGATGGCTTGAGAAAGATGCCATTTGCCAAATCAACAAAAGATGCTGAGAATAGTCTTTCCAGAACCAGGAAAAGAAAGATTTAGAAAGACTTTCTTTGAGTAAACGTGCCGTCTTTTCGATATTCATCGATTAGTGTACACCAGATAACCAAAGATCAATAAGGAAAAATTTAACTATCAAAAGAATTAAAAATTAGTCACATTGTGATCATCAGATATTTGTTGCTGATATGTTTGTCGGGACGGCTAGATGGGCCAGCGGTCAAGGCTGTCACCTTGACTGAATCCGTACTGGTTGAAAAATCTCCAGGAATTTTACGGAGGGTAGCCCGTCCGGGTATGTCGGACCCCGTCCCTCACCACCCGGCCCCGGCCACACGCCCACAATGGGGCCTGTGGTCCATTGTGCCCATTGTGTGTCCACCTATGTGTCAACCAGGCCCATTGTGGACCTGGCTGAATTCATAATGGGCTTGATAAAAAGAGGCTCTCTTAATGTCCACAGGTGGAAAGAGGTTAAATAATTAGAAATAAATAATATTAAATTTTAAAAGAAATATAGTGTTTTCTTTCGACTCGATTGTACATATATTCACGAATAAAGAAAAGGTTGCATAGAGCCATAGACGTATATCGAGTTTGGAGATTTTCGATAAAAAAAATCGAATGAATTTCATCCTAACGAACTGCTATTTACATAAACAGGATGAAATCTGTTAATTGTGAACCAGTAAAGCAATGTAATATAGCCCATCAAATAAACGCCGTTCCTAAAAGTATCTCGCTCCTTCATCTGTGTGTGCGATCCAGTATGTGAATATTTATCTAAAATAATATATTATTAATGAAAGTACTGTATATCCGCGAAAATCCATTATGTTACTAAATTTCATAAAATATTTGTGATTGTAATTTTATATTAATAAATATGTAAATTAAACAATATTTTTTTCGCCAAAATTTTCAAAGATAGAAGGAGTTTTGTATCTCTTTCGTTTTAGTTCCGCAAATCGAAACCTCATATTTAGGACAGTTTATTTACCAAATTTGGTTGAGATTTTCTTAATAGTTCTTTCCACAATGAAATTAGTTTTGAGTATTTTAAATTTATAAAGATGTTTGAAAAATTTTTACTTTTATTAGAGTTCATAATTATTCAGCTTATGTATAAGTAATTAATAACTTCAAGGTGATGAAGGCGTAAGCTTGCAATCTGCATCATGGGGAACTAGGTTCCAGTTACGGTCAGAAATCTCCAAAATTTTTTATGAGCGGTTCATCCTGCACACATGGTTGATAAAAAAATTGTCTTCGTGCCCATAACACAAAAACGTTGATACAAATTTGTAGCCATATACAGTAAGATCCCGCTTAACGCTACCTCGATTAATGCTGAATCGATATAACGCTGTCTGCCCGAAGCCTAAAAAAAGCTCAAAATTTACGATGATTCAAATTATCGCAGCATTTTATTGATTCGTATATAACATGATTATTTACGAACATGAACCAATCAGCAAAAGGTGACAATTCGTCATAGCGCTGTACTTTCCTTAAATCTGTTTGTTTCGTGCAATTTTGGAAAAAATATAATATCACGGATGCCATAGGAAATATCGACTTGGCTTGGCAAGAATTAACTGATAAATGCATGAACGGAGTGTGGAAAAAGTTATGGCTGGAAGTATCTAAGAATTCTCAATGAGAAAAGCTTATCGCTATAGTGTTAGGTTGACCAAATTGTCAACCTAATCGATACAGCAGCAGGACTAGAAGATGTAGACGAACAGGGTAATGAGGAGTTACTGCAGGTTTCTGGCGAGAGCCTTATTAACGACGACCTTCAAGAACTGATGTAACAAGGAATTCATGTAGAACTGGAAAATGGTGATTTTGATAATGAAGAACCCAAAGAATTTCTCTACAGATTTCCTTAGTAACAATTTGATAACGATAACCGAAGTCGTTGATCAAATTGTAGCGAATGATCTAGATTTTGAAAGGAGTGCAAAAGCAAAACGAAGCGTTTTGGATGCGATCTTCTTCTACCGACATTTGCTTAAGGAAAGAAAAAAAAAGCGACAAATGAAACTTCACGACTTTATTGCAAAAAGAACAATAATTTCAGAGAAGTCAGGACCTTCGTCACAAAAAATGAACTTTACAATTCTGTGTGCATATGTTATTAAACATATAGTATGATGCACGATTTCCATCAGATTCTGTGTTAAGTCGCAGATAATGATGTCATTATCTCCAATGGTTTAAAGTCTGATGACAATCAGTTGTGTATTCGTGAATACTTCTATTATCTGTAAAACATGTATTTACTATTTAATATCAGGAATCTGAAAATAAATATGTTAAACGTTCTTTTTTTTTAAATCTCTTCGCCCTATGGGTCCTAACTTGTATGAGGGGCTTTTTTAGTAAGCCTATTATGAATTAGGTCAGGTCACTGTGTGGCGGTCGGGTGATGGAGTACGGGACCCGATATATTTGGACGGCCACCCCCGAAAATTTCTGGTGTTTTTGACCAGAGGACCTATTCTGAGTAGTATCGTTAAGCTAACGAATACGATAAAAATCAGTTTCTATCGGAACCATGTGATTCCCGTTTAATCAACTGTGAAAATGCTATTCCGAGCCGTACGTTTTGTTTTCGGTCCCGATAGCCACGTGCGATAACTAAGGTTTAGTTATCGATCACTATCGAGCTGCCATTAGGAACAAAAGTGCCGAAAGTGTAAACGACATAGCGTCTTTTGGTGTAAGAATGATTTTACTTCACGAGCAATTAGAGAGAGAGTTAATAAACTATGTTGTTGTATTCGTTAAAAATAATTATCTTGACTATTTATGAATATTCTACTGTATGAACAATGTAATTGCTTTCTTGTTAAAATTTAAAGTAAGTAGCTATAGCATGAGCATTATTTCTCAAATAGGTTTCATTCGCATATGTATAAATGAAAATGATAGTCATATATTTATATTCAAAGCTATCAGTTACTTTTTGCCACAATTTCTGGCGATCTTTTAAAGTNTGGGAAAGTGCATTCAATCTTTTCATTGTTAATTTTCGTCAATCGAATCGAATTGTTAAAGCAAACACGAATAATAAATTCTGTCGTTTCCCGTTATAATTTTGTGTGTGTATATTACATATGCGTACACATTGCATCCCATATGAGATTATTATAAATAATCTAAGGTAAAAGAAGCATCTAACTTCTCTGACATTAATTTAGGCTTGTCTTCCATTAAATTAACGAGCATCTCGAACTGGCGACTTGTAGTTCGCTGGCTTCGTTGGCCTTTCTTCGACATTTTAAAACAAAACTATTTCACTAGCGCTGGTACACGACAATGCTAAAACCACCTTCGTTTAGAAAATAGCGGGTTGCAGTCACATGACATAGATACAATGTTAACTAAACTGTGATTGGTTAAAGCACGGGTTCCCAACCTATGGGTCGCGACCCAGAAGGGGGTCGCGACGGATTTTCTGTGGGGTCGCCAACTTATGCAGTAAACTAAAACAAAATTTTCACTATAATGCAATACTGTATTTATTTTTAATGGTGTCTTAAAGTTTGAATAATTTCATATATTTTTAAAAAATTAAAATAAGTGTAATCTGGGTACGCTATTCTGTCACAGTTGGTTGAATCATGTGTTGAGAGTTTTGAGAGGAATAAATTAAATGTTGAGAATGACATGAGGTTGGCGTTAACAAAATCTCACCCGCGAATTTTGAGGCTGGTTAATAATACATGCAATTTCAACCATCTCATTAAATTAATTATTAAACATAATTTAAAATAAAATTATACTAAAAAACTAATTTCATTGTTTTTTTAATTACCTTATTAAAAATACCTTTTTCAATTGTATCGGGGTCGCGGGTCACTTGGCTTTTATAAAAAGGGGGTCGCCACC